GGGGAGGGGTGGAGTACGAAGAAACCCAGGTGATGGGCACCAGGTGGGTGGCTGGAGCCCAGGGGCTTCGGGGCTTCGGACAGATGAAGGTGGTATCTTGTGCTGCCTCCACACGGCCGTCGGGTAGCAGCGCCTCTACCACCACCCTCAGGTGGAAATGCCCGTCCTGCAGAGAGGAGGGAGGCAGAGGGGTGCTGAGAGCCGAGCAGGAAGGGCCTGCACGCAGGACTGGGTCTTCCTTCTACAACCCCCAGCTCAGAGTGACCTTGGGCAACTCCCCCAAAGGGGGCCCTGCTGGCCAAGACGGAGCCCCCCTACCTTCTCCAGCACATGACAGCCTTTGTAGTCAGCAGAGAAGACCACAGCCCCCTGGGGCTGGGAGGTGAGCCAGTGGTAGCAGATGGAGCAGTTGTTCACGTCAAACCGATTTCCAAATTCATCTGCGGTAGGGTGGGGTGGGAGAGAGCGAGGCCAGGGTGCTGAAAGGGCGAGCTAGAGGCTGCCACGCAGAGCCCAGGGTGAGAAGAATCCCCTCTCTGGAGGCAGGACACCCGAGTTCCAGCCTTGACGAATTCGCTGTGCGTCCTTGGGCAAGCTCCTTCCCCACTGTCTCGGTTCCACATTTGTGAGGCTTCAGCTCACACAATGGTTGGCTTCAGCTGGTCTTTGGATCGGTCTGGCTAAGGTGTCCCTTGTTGGCCCCCGCACAGCAGTCTCCACAGGGAGGAGCCCCCCAGGGTAGGAAGAAGGGGCTGAAATGGGGGCCCTGGGCTGGCTGTTTAGCTTCAGGTCCTTAAGCTTAGTTATCTACGTCCTAGGGTTGAAAGGAGACAGCTGAGGCTCATGGGGACTGGAGCTTGCTCAAGTGCTCTCAATGAAGGCAGAGCAAGGATTCGGGGCTTCAGGGATGGAGCTGAGGTGGTTTGCAGGATTCCTGGCTTCTGGAGTTGTCAGGGAGGGCAACCCCCTTCCTCCTCCTGTCAGCCCAGAGCAAGCAGCTTAGCCTCTGGGAGCAGGGCTCCCTCCAGGCACAGTCCCTCCCATTTGACAGATGAGGAAACAGAAGCGATGAAGGTGGGGGGGGGGCAGTCACCCAAGACCACACAAGTTAGAAACTGTAGATTTGAATCCACTCTGAGCTCAGTGCCCCCATTCTCTCCACCCCAGGTCCACTCTCTGCCCAGGCTGGTCCACCAAGGCCTGGTGCCAGGAGTGGGGGCTCAGCAGCCTGGGCCATCAGCAAGGAGGGTTGGCAATGTGATGCTTGGCCCTGACCGAGGTGGGCCGAATGGTGTGCCCGCACAGGCACACTGGAGCCTGATCCTTGCACGAAGAATGTGACCTTTTAGGAAATAAGGCCTTTGAGGATGTTGTCGGCTGACAGGTGGCCACGCGGGAACTGGCGGGGGCTGGGGTGGTGGTGTCCTTGGTAAGAGGAGAGACAGACAGACTGAGGGAGGTCACCTGAAGACGCACCTACGAGTTAAGGAATGCCTGGTGATGCTGGGAGTCGAGGAAGACATCAGTCAGCCCGGCCCTGCCGTTGCCCAGCATTCAGGCGAGAGCCCTGTGACTCAGGGCCCGTTGGGCTGCTAACTGCAAGGTTGGTGGTTCAAACCCGCCTACTACTCAGAGAATGAGGCTGTCTGTTCCCATGAAGACCACCAGCGTCGGAAACCCCAGGGGGCTGTTCTCTGACAGTCGCTGGCTGCGCTAGGCTACCGCGGTTTCAAGCCCAGTTGATGGCCTTTGGGGACAACAGCTGAGAGGCTCTGGCTCCAAGGAACCCTATGGGACCCAGTAGAGCCTCCCTGCAAGTCTTTACAGGAGCAGGGAGCCTCTTGGTTCTCCTCAGAAGTGGTGGATTTGAACCCCGGGCCTCTTGGTTGGTAACAGAACCACTGCACCACCCTTCACTCTCAGAGCGCCTGCGGCCCAGTCCCCTGGCCTTGCACCTTCCTCACGGTGCCTCCTTCATTGCCCGCCACAGGCCAGGGCCAGCTCCCAGCTCAGCCTCGAACCAGAGGCCATTGGGTCTGTTCTGACTCACAGCGACCCCAAGGGTCAGAGTAGAACTGAGCTCCAGAGTTTCCAAGGGTGGGTCCTTCAGCCAAGCAGACAGCCCCCTCTGCCCCCTCCCCGACGAGCTGGTGGGCTCTAGCAGCAGACCCCTCAATAACAGCTCAGTGCATGGGCTCCTGGTTGACCCTGAGTGACAGACTCAGAGTCTGCATCTCTACAAGGGGCCTGCGCACTACTGGGAAGAGTGGCTGGGGAGCTAGTATCGAAGGCTGGCACGTCACCTCCTTCCTCCACTCTCCGCAGCGGGGGTGGTGGGACAGACACCCCAGGCCCCTGGGCAGCTTTCTGCTCTTCTTGCTCCCGGCTCTGGGGAGGGTCTGGGGACAAGGAGGAGAACCCAACCAGGAGGTACTTACCCACCACCTTGATGTGGACTGCCCGGCCTGGTTTGGGGACCACATGTAGCTGCATGCCCTGGGCCCCGCAGGTGTGATTGTGCTGCAGGCCCAGGGGCCCCGGCCTGGCCCGAGTCTGCTGGCCCAGTCCTGGCCCCAGAGTGGCCGCTACGACTAGTAGCAAGATCACACAGTGACCCCAAGCCATGGATGGCTACGGTACCTGCTCCCAAGCACAGGACAGACCTCCCCATCCAAGTGTTTGCCTGCCTGGTAGGGCCTAGGCCTTATAGGTAGAGGCGACAGGTGGGTGCTCCTGAGAGCAGAGGGGGCCCACCTGAGGAGGGTGGAGGGGTGAGGGTGGGGCTCCACTTGCCTTGCAGGGGCCGTGGCAAAACTCCTGCCCCACAGCAGAGGAAGGCTCCCTCCCAGCCTGGGGGCCTTGAGAAACTGGATGGAAAGTGTCTGTAGCCCCTCAGGGTTGCTCCCTGCCTTACAGCTGAGGCCTGGGAAGAACTTGGACCTCTGCTGATGAACCTGGACCTCTGCTGATGGGAATGGGCCTGGGGGGAGGGGTGGGGTGCAGGGGAAGGGAGGCACTTCCTAGGACAGTGGGGCTGAGGGGCAGGATAGATGCTGGGAGGTGCCCCGTCTTTCTGACCTCCCCTGGTGGGCTCCCCCATCCTGCCTCAGGCAGGAGCTGCAGGGGCAGTGAGGGAGGGCAGCAGACTCCTGAGTTTCACTCTTCCCCCCCCCCCGGCCCCCCCCACCCCCCCGTGGGGTCTTAGGGTCTGATGGTGGAGATGCTGGCCCGGCTCTGGGGAACTCTGTCTGATGGGGGCCAGGTGTGTGACCCACCAGTCTAGGACCCCTCGTTGATTTCCAAGGCTAAGATAGAGGAGGAAGAAGGAACAGGCTGTCCACTCCGGAGGGATTGTTGTTGTCAAGCGCTACCGGGTCGGCCCCAACCCATAGTGACCTGGTGGCACCTCCACAGCAGAGCCACTCCCTGGTCCTGCCACCCTCACACGCTTCCTTATGTTTGAGCCCAGGGAGGTAGTGCTGCGTGTCCACCTCTGTCCTCGAGGAGGCATGGAGTCCACTCTGCAGTCCTGACGGTGGCTTTGCTATTGGCACATGGTCCAGGAACATAACGAAGGACACTCATTTTTTTTTAATTAAAAAAATAATTTTGGGGGGGTGAAGTTCTCATTCTCAACAGGAGTATAGCCACATTCGGGGACCAACAGCTCAGGGTTCCAGCAGCTCCACAAGCCTTCAAGAAGTTCCAGCAGCAGCAACAACAACAATAATCATAAAAGAATTAAAGGGGAATGGAATTTCCCCACCAACTTTTTGGAAGGCCCTTGTCCATTAAAATTCACTGCCATCGTTGTTGCTGACTCACAGTGACCCTGTAGGACAGGGTAGAACTGCCTCTTGGGTTTCTGAGACGGTCACTCTTTATGGGAGTAGAAAGCCCGTCTTTCTCCCACAGAGCAGCTGGTGGTTTCAAACTGCCGACCTAGTGCTTAGCAACTGTCCTTTATATATTGTGTGTGTGTGTGTGTGTGGGGGGCATAGTTCAAGATGAATCTAAGATGACAGAGGCCTCCAAGGTGTCTCGCCCTATGCTGGGAGCTGAGAGTACAGGCCAGGGTAATGGCGCCCTTGAGAACGGCCTAGCAGGGCACAGCTGAGCGTCGCAGCCCAAGCTGCATGGGAACACCTGGAGGTGCCGCCAGCCTGGGAGCCTGCATCTCTAACAGGAGCCCTGATGGGATGCTATGTTTGAGACCGCAGCTGCCGCCACTGTGCCAATCCACCCCGTATATCTACAGGCCCAGGGTTTCCAGTGGCAGATCCCTCAGAGGACCCAACCCTGACACGCACACTTCCTGATTTTAAACCAGGATGTATTCCCTGGTTCTGTTCTTACAGCTGCCTCTTTGATCCATGTGGAGGTTCCTCTTGAGCACAAGGCAGTGTTCTGGAATCCCTATTCTTCTCAAGACTGTCCATAGTTTGTCATGATCCACACAGTCAAATGCTTTTGCATAGTCAATGAAACACAGGCATGCTTCTGTGGTGGTTACATCATCTGGTATCAATTTGAGGATTAAGAGTGTAGGGGTGGAGTCTAGCTGTCAATCAGGATACAGCCAATGAGGCCTCTGTGTGGGCATGGCCTTCTCCTGAGGATTCTGGGAACGCCTATATTTCCCCCTTAGAGGCGGGAGACGCTGTCTCTCTCCATTTACTCCCTGAAAGACTCTCTACTGATAAGACATATGGAACTACATTAGGGCCCTGGAGCTGGAGGAGCCACATGGAGAACCCTACCAGTGCTGAGATGCTTACAATGCCACTGGATCCACAAGACTTCCTACCCACTGGCCTGTGATCTTCCTGCATCTGGCATCATTGCATGTGTTTTGTGAGTCTGAAGAGGACTTTCTAGATTGGTGCCAGACATGTGGGCTAATATCGGACTTATGGACTTGATCTAGATTGGGCTGGGATGTTTTCACAATATTCAATTGCTCTTGTACATAAATTGCTCTTTCTTATACATAAGTGAATGTCCATGAATTTGTTTCTCTTGTCTACGCAGACTATCACAGCTTTTTTTCTGGTGTTCTTCACTTTCAACCAAGAGCCCTCTGACATCAGCAATGATATCCCTTGTTCCACATCCTCTTCTGAATCCGGCCTGAGTTTCTGGAAGCTCCCTGTCAAGGGACAGCTTCAAGGGACAGTTGGATGATCTTCAGCACACTTTTACCTGCATGTGAAAATAGTGATCTTGTTCAGTAATGGCTGCCTTCTGTTGGGTCCCTTTCTTTGGATGGGCACATGTGGATTTCTGCCACTCAGCTGGCCGAGTAGGCAACTTCCAAATTTCCTGGCACAGACGTGTTGCATGGTCTTCAGCAATAGTTTTACTTGTGTGTGTCATGAGTGATTTTACTGACATATGATGACATTGTTCTAGAATTTTCTTGGGTCACCTTTCTTTCTCAAATCTGTCTGAGAAGAAGTACAGCCAGAATGCTTCTTAGAGATAAGGATAGCAAGCCTCACGTACTTTAGACAGTTATCAAGAGAGATCAGTCTCTGGAGAAGAACGTCATGCCTGTTAAAATGGAGGGGCAGCAAAAAAGAGGGAGACCCTCAACAAGATGGATCGACACCGCGGCTGTGTTGTAGGGTGGGCACAACGAGGGGCCCTATTGCCCAGTCACCATTGCCATATTACAGAAACCAGGTGGATGCTAAAGATTCTAAGTTTTATTTTCCCATGCTTGGAAAAGGAGAACGGGGGTGGGGGTGGGCATTGCTCTGAATGCCGGTCTCCCCTTCTCCGTGTTCTCATGGCATATGTATACACAGGCTGGGTGAAACAGGTTCTTTCAGACAAACACAAATCTTGGAATGACAGGCATCAGTTAGGTAAACAGAGTTTTGTTTTAACAAAGAGCTTATGTTACAGAGCTCCCATGACTAGAAACAAACCACACCAACCCAGAGTCATGGCCATCAAGTCAATACTGCCTCATAGTGACCCTCTAGGCCAGGGCAGAACTGGCCCTTGTGAGTTTCTGAGACTGTAACTGTTTCTGGGAGTAGCGAGTCCCATCCGTCTCCCTCCCACAGAGCGGCTGGTGGTTTCAAACTGCCGATCTTAAGGATCGCAGCCCAATGTGAACCACTGCACCCGCCATCAGGGCTCCTTCCATTACTAGAGACACTGAATTTTGGGGAGATTGACCAGATGTAGGTTCTGGCTCGTCATGAGTCGGGGAGAGAGAGATTTATAACACTGGGATAAGAATTGAGTCTTGGGGGGAGCGGGGGGGGGGGGTAAGGGGCTGACATGAAGGGCTCAAGTGGAAAGCGGGTATTGTAAGAATGATGAAGTCAACATATGGACTAATGTGCTGGACACAAATGATGTATGTACGGATTGTGATGAGTTTATGAGCCCCTAATAAAACGATTATTTAAAAAAAAAAGAATTTAGTCTTAAAAAAAAGAATTGAGTCTTTCATACAGGATACTCTGGGAGACAAGTTCGAGGGGTTCAGCTTAGGGCCACAGTTATGGAAGATTTCTAGTTATGTCTGGACAAGCGATATGATTGTCTTAACTAAGATTTTTCTAAATGGCATAACATTTCCTTCATAAAATAACAGGGATAGACTCTTCAAGTCCCCTTCAAAAGCTGCAAGAAGGTGCTCAAACCTAAGAACCATTGCGCGGACCCAGTGGTGTCGCGAATAGGGTCACCATGAGTAGGACCCTGCTTGCCGGCACACAAGGGAGACTGCAATTCTTTATGGGAGTAGAATGCCTCGTCTTTCTCCAGAGGAGCGCCTGGTGGTTTTGAAGTGCTGACCCTGTGGTCAGTAGCCCAACGTCTAACCATGTCACCATCAGGGCTCCCTCTTCCGATGTAGGTGGCTCTTAAAAGCGACTCACTTTGGAGTTGTACAAAGCAGATGCAACACCTACAAAACCAAACTCATGGCCATCGAGTCGGTCCCAACTCAGAGCGAAACTGACTGTCTTTGTGGGTTTCTGAGACTGTAACTCTTGGTGGGAGCAGGAAGCCTCTTTTTTCTCCTTTGGAGCAGCTGGTGGTTTTGAACTGTTGACCTTCTGGTATTAGCCCAACGTGGAACCATTATGCCACTGGGGCTCACTGAAACACACACAGGCTCATGCAAACCAAAGAACCGAGGGGTGAAGGAATGCTCAGGGCTACAGTGAGGAAGGTGCTGACTGGCCCAGCAGAGACCTAGATTTGGACGGCTGATTTCCAGAATTGTGGGATCAAGCTCTGTCCCTTGTTGCCACCATGGGAGGTACTTGTGTTGCCCTAGGGAACTAGCTGGATGGCGCCTGCCCTCTGAGAGCAGGCTCCCACCCACCTCTTGTCCATTCATGAAACAGTTGGAGGACCCAGGGTGGGCTTGGGGGTGGGGTGAGGTGAGGAGGGAAGGAGGCACAGAGCCAGCAGCCTCCCTGCAGGCTTTCAGCTGGGTCTCCAGAACCCTCTGCTGTGGGCCTGTGGCCTTGGGCTCTCGGAGGACAGACGTGAAGGGAAGGCCTGTCCACCATGGGAATGCAGCCAAGGTCACTAACAAACAAGCAGTATTGTTGACTTTAGCAAATGTCTTGCATGTGGCTTGTCAGGGCTAGAGTCTTTAGTTTGATGTATTAGCTTTTCAGGAGGT